GGGATGGATTTTGGTGCTCTATCCAAGGGGATGGATTTTGGTGCTCTCTCCAAGGAGATGGATTTTGGTGCTGGGCCTCTCTCCAAGGGAATGGATTTTGGCGCTGGGACTCTCTTCAGGAGAATGGATTTTGGTGTTTTCCAAGGGAATAGATTTTGGGTCTTTTTCCAAGAGGATGGATTTTGGCACTGGTGCTTTCTCCAGGGAGATGAATTTTGGTGCTCTATCCAAGGGGATGAATTTTGGTGCTCTATCCAAGGGGATGGATTTTGGTGCTCTATCCAAGGGGATGGATTTTGGTGTTCTCTCCAAGGGGATGGATTTTGGTGTTCTCCAGGGGATGGATTTTGGGACTGGGGCTCTCTCCAGGGGATGGATTTTTGTGCTCTCTGCAAGAGGATGGATTTTAGCACTGGGGTTCTCTTTGGGGGATGGATTTTGGTGCTGAGGTCTCTGCAAGGGATGAATTTTGGGATGCTCCAAGGAGATGGATTTGGGCACTGGGGCTCTCTTCAGGAGGATGGATTTTGGTGCTGGGGCTCTCTCCAAGGGAATGGATTTTTGTGCTCTCTCCAAGGGATGGATTTTTGTGCTCTCTCCAAGGGAATGGATTTTGGTGCTCTCTCCAAGGGATGGATTTTTGTGCTCTCTCCAGGGGATGGCTTTTGGCACTGGAGCTCTTTCCAAGGAGATGAATTTTGAGGCTCTCTCAGGGGGGTTGCATTTCGGTGCTGGGGCTCTCTCAAAGGAGATGGATTTTGGTGTTCTCCAAGGGGATGGATTTGGTGTCTCTCTCCAAGGGGATGATTTTGGGGCTCTATCCAAGGGGATGGATGTTCCCAGGACATGGGGTTGGGAATGTGGAGCTCCTGGCTGGGATGTGGGGCTCCTGCCAAGCACAGGGAATGGTCAGGGTACCTTTGATCTGTTTTGGGCTGTGTTGGGGGGTCCCAGTGCTCCCACCCTGCTTCCCCAGGCAGGAGAGCACAGCCCAGAGAGAGGAAGGTGAACCCTCTGTGTGCTTCCCTAAAAACTCCTTGATATTCCTCTAAAAACTCCTTGATATTCCTCTAAAAACTCCCTGATGTTTCCCTAAAACCCCTCTGATACTTTCCTGAAAACTCCTTGATATTCCTCTAAAAACTCCCTGATATTTCCATAAAACCCCCCAGATACTTCCCTATAAACTCCTTGATATTCCTCTAAAAACTCCTTGATATTCTTCTAAAAAATTCTTGATATTCCTCTAAAAACTCCCTGATATTTCCATAAAACCCCCCAGATACTTCTCTAAAAACTCCTTGATATTCCTCTAAAAACTCCCTGATGTTTCCCTAAAACCCCTCTGATACTTTCCTGAAAACTGCTATTGATATTGATATTCTTCTAAAAAATGCTTGCTATTCCTCTAAAAACTCCCAGATATTTCCATAAAACCCCACAGATACTTCCCTAAAACCCCCTGATCTTTACCTACCAATCCCTTGATAGTTCCTTAAAATCTCCTTGATATTCCTCTAAAAACTCCTTGGTATTGTCATAAAGACTCCCTGATATTTCCCTAAAAATCTTCTGATATTTCCCTAAAAACCTCTCTGATGTTTCCCAAAAAACTTCCTGATATTTCCCTAAAAATATCCTGGTATTCCTCTAAAAAATTCCTGATATTTCCATAAACCCCCCTGATACTTCCCTAAAAACTCCCTGATATTTCTCTTGAACCTCCCTGATATTTCCCTAAAATTTTCCTGATGCTTCCTTAAAAACCTCCTGGTGTTTCCTTAAAAACTCCTTGATATTCCCTAAAAAAAAAAAACCCTGATATTTTCATAAAGGCTCCCTGATATTTCCCTATAAACTCCTTGACATTTCCCTAAATATTTTGTGATATTGCCATAAAAATTCCCTGGAAAAGCTCATGGAAAACTTGCAGGCCTGACCTCGCAGGTTTCTTGTTTTTATTCCTCAAAAAATTAATTCCAAACAAAACGAGGGAAGAAAAGCTCTTTTGTAAATAACTCTTGGAATTTAAAACCCTGGCTTTGTTTTGGGAAATATTATTAACCTGGAAATTATACAGGGAATGGGCAAAAAAAAAAAAAAAAAGGAAAAAAGGGAATTTCTGGGTCTTTAAAGCCTAACTGGGATAAGGTTCCAAATGTTGTGACCTACTTTTGGGAGCTGAGCTGAAAATTGGGCAAAACAGAGCAAAATGTGCTGGATCTGGATAACACAGGAGGGAATGAAAGGGCTGGGAAAATGTTCCAGTGGGAGCAAAGGGAGGAGGAGGAGAGGGCAGGGCTGGATTTGAGGGAAGGGAGAGCTCATCCGGGGATGCTGAGGATTTTAGGGAAGAGGGGACGCCTCTGTGGGTTCAAACCCTGCAGGAATTCCAGATTCTCCTCTCAGTTCCAGGCTTTTCCCAGCAAATGCTGCATTTCCCCTGCCATCCAAAGCTCTGGAAAAGCAGAGGTTTTCCTGGGGGAACGTGCAGTGATCCATCAGCAAACGCTGCCAACATCCCTGGATATAAATGGGCATTAAATATTGGGAATTATGGGATGCATTTCCCGTGGAAAAATGGGATTCATTCAGGGGGGTTTGGAGAGGATGAGTGTGGTACTGGGAATGTCACCCTGGAGTTGGGATGAAGGCCTGGAAGGCCTTCCTGATCCTTCCTGGCATTTCTGATCCTTCCTGAATTCCCTGGGAGCTCCTGACCCTCCCTGGAATTCCTCCCTGCTTTAGGGAAGGGTCTCCTCTGGGAATTTTTAGGAGTCACAGGACAGGTCCCAGCCCAGGATGGTGGAGGTGATTCCTTGGGANGGATATCCTGCAAGGATTGAGGGTGTCCTGGTGGGATTGGGGGTGTCCTGCAGGGATTTAGGATATCGGGTTGGGAATGGGGATGTCCTGTCCTGGTGGGATTGGGGGTGTCCTGCAGAGAATGGGGCTGCTGATTCCATTGGAAGGGTGTCCTGCAGGGATTTGGGATATCCTGCAGGGATTTGGGATATCCTGCAGGGATTTAGGGTGTCCTGCAGGTGCCCTTCCCTCGGGATGTGGGTGCTGTGCTGGGCAGGGCAGGTCCCCATTCCCAGGACAATCCCCTTGGGAATCTCCCCAGTTTTCCTCCCTGTTCCCCCACAGCCCCAGGGACAGAGCTCAGCCCGTGGGAGGCTCCTGAGGTTGTCCTGCTCTCCCAAATCCCTGTGTCCTGTTCTCCTAAATCCCTGTTTCTTTTTGTCCCAAATCCCCATTTCCCACAGGATTTCAGGATCAGGACTGGCCAGTGTTGGGGTCTCCTAAACCTGAGGAAGTCTGTGCCTTAAAGAGAGAAAGAATTCCTAAAAATTTCCCAAAATAACCCTTTAATACCTTTAAAATGATGGAATACAATTTATAAATATTATTTGTAAATATTATTTATAAGGATAAATATATAAAATAGCATTAAAACATAATACCATCGGTTTATGTAATATGCAATTATAAGTATTTATATTTACCAATATATAATTTATACAGTTTGTTTTAAAGTATTTAATAATGTGTAAATATGTATTTGCATACTATATCAATATATTTAAATAATTTCATATATTTCAAGCTATAAAAGATCAAAAATGAGTAATTTCCAGTGCAGCATTTGAAAATTACTCATTTTTTTGGCTCTGGAAGTCCCAGAGGAGGAATTGTAAAAGATGGAGCTTCAAACTTTGTGTGGCTCCAAAAGAATTGCCTGGATCTGAATTATGGGAAAAGAAAGGTTTGTG